GCACTTCACCCCTCATTCTAGCACCGTCCGTGCAACAACTCTCTTCATGCCGTATTACGCCATATTATTTATGCCACACTGACCTAATAGAGGCAAGGTACAGACGGATTGTTGTCTAAACGGTTACCCCTTTCTCAACCTAAATATTCGGACGGTTACCAAAAGCACTCGATGCGAGGGCCATCTTCCTATTTAATTCTGATTGAATGGTGCCTTCGCTAGAGATGATTTATCCGAGATGTTTAAACTGGTTAGATATCCTCTATGGTTGCCCCTCTTTGTTTCACTAGTGGTTCAACCGTGTCTTTTGCGTTCGTGATAACTTTGAACTTCCGAGTATTAAGGCAGAGGCCTTGATTCATAACTGTGTTGCAAACAGAAACCATCAGGTGGCAAAGACTGATTTCTTACTCACCCAGTAGTCATCATCGTACTCCAGGTCAGCAATACATCTAGCTGAATATCTTAAACTGTGCCTTTTTTCTTGATTTTTGTATTTACAGTTATCAACATGAAGAAGAAAGAGAGCAATTTTGAATAGTAAAGACGAAAGTTCTTCTCTGGCGAAAGTACATCCACAATTAACAGGGAACCATTCAAATTGTTCTCCTTCAGCTCATATAGCAGACAATGTTTCTGCATATGTATATGGATGGAAATGGAAACGATGTGATGGCCTATCCCGTAGCATTTCATGATTTTCCACATCATCAGACGACGTGAACAAAATGTAGAGGAAACTGGCAAACCAAAGCAATTAGAATTGTCGGCATTGCCCGAAGATCCTAGGAAAAGTTAAAGTTTGGTCGGGGCAGGAGTACTCCGCCCGGAAGCCTGCTTTATTTCAGCGGAATCTGCTATCATTTTCCTGACTACTTTTTCTTTATAATCGATAAAATTTCTCAGGAGTAGACATTTGGATAATTCCAGGTGGGGTAATAGTTAGAGGACTCGATTGACAGTTCCCCTTTAAATATGGGAACAGTTATGCCACCATTAAATTCTCGAAGGAAACTCTTTGAGGTCTACATTTTATGAAATAATTTATGGAGCTTTTCTGCCACTCTCCTATTAACTCCACAGGAATTTTATCCATACCGCAGACCTTCTTCGCTTTGAGGTGTGTCAAGACCTTTTGATTTCTACTTTTGTAAGGGGATCTACGCTAACCTCTAATTTTTCTAGGAAATTAATTTTGAGGAGATGTCCGAAGGACACTTGCGTAGCTATTGGAAGTGCTGAATCTATGTTTTAATGTGTTCCTTCTTGTCTGCCAGTGAAACATCGTTAGAGTCTTAAGTAAGGGCAGAATGAGTTCTCTGATTACGCGAAAGCTGTGTTACTCCTTGGAACCCTTTCTGACTGCCTTACCGAATTTCTCAGTTTCATCCGCTAGCCAAAGTTCCCTGTCCTGCCACTAGCTCCAGTTTACTTCATGAACGAGATGACGACGAACTTCCTTCGAAAGCGCCTTTGGGCAGTGCAGTTGTACTTCTTATCTTGGTTTCTCTGCTCTTTAAAGGCTAAAATATTCTTCGTAACCCTTACAGTTTGGCTGTCGGCCTTCTAATCCCATCTACGTTTTTCGCCAAACAAATACTGCTAACTTTGAAGTATATGAAGACTTCGTTGACGTTGCTATATCCTGACTGAGCATTAAGAGTAGCATTAAAATAGATCTCTACCTCCTCATTTTTGTAGGCCACTTCGTTTATTGTAGTCTGTCAGCATCGAGAAGCTGAGGTTTTTAAACCATGTAACGCGGCTGATTTGGATAGAGTTCTACTACGACCATACGGTGGACAGAATGCAAGCTCCAGTCTGACGTGAGTCTCAAGTAACGAGCTGCACAGTTTGCGGCAGATGAGCACCTGCTTCCCTTGGAACTGTAAGCTTCCGTCAGGGGATGTCCATGTGCTTTGGTGGATTACGGAATAGGCTCTCACCGAGTTTAAGCTCTTTATAACACGGAAGCCTAAAAAGCGCCATGACGGCTGGGTACACCTGGCGGGTTGCTGTACTTTATGCTCACCTTCGGGATGAGGTCGCCTGTGACAGCTGTGACGTCTGGCAGAGTGCTAGCAACTTATTGCAAACAATTATGGGTGTCTGTCGCTGTCACTTGAAGCATTTGTCAGGGCACAGGCGAAAACGATATTCAACATCCTCTGTGGGAACGAGAATATCCATAAGATTCCTATGGATATTATGTGGGAGAGCCTACCATCTTCTCTGACACCTGTTCGGCATAGAAGACCGCTTGATTTACCCTCTGGGCGGGAGGAGCCACACCGGCACGGCGCATTCTACTATGACTCGACCACCAAAACACCATTCATCCTGAAGTAAGGTATTCCCTTCCAGCTCTCGTATCCGGCAATACATCGAGTTTATAGCAGCGTGCTGTATGGCAGATCTCGTCCAACTTACCTTCACTGGTTAAGGAGCGAACGTTCCATCATGCAAGACGTATTTTACCTTTTTTGATATTGACTGCTAGCACTCCGGATTTCCTGTCTCTAAGTTGTCGAGCATTAATCATTTGCTGCGCTACTTATTTTTGGTAGCATACCGGAGGTTCTACCGCCGCTCTTTAAGAAATCAACTTGAACGTGGAAAAATTGTAGCCGGCCTATGCGAAGACGTGAATAAAATAAAATTAAACGAACTATGAAATATTAAAAACCGTTAATAATTGAAAGGGTAAATTTTAAACATTATCGCAAAATTGCGCCGGCACACCGTACATTTGGGTGACCTACCGAAAGTTGAATATTGGAATTAAACAACAATTATCATCGGCCATCTTCAGGCAGACTGACAATTATGATGTTGCCCAAACGCATTTTCGGATGGACGCTCCGTCTTTCAGGCTAGCTTTATCTCTCTGCAATCAACGGAAACCGTTTAAAACAACCTTCTGGCGTGTTCCTTTAATCTTTTAGCCCTGAAACATCGAATGTGCAATGAATAATCCTCTTCGTCTTGATGAGTAATAGCTGAGGACCATCAAAGTCATAGTGATTCAGATCTGGCACTCATGTTTCCTTGATTGTGCTACCAGTGTGACAGCGGAATGCTTCTTTATTAAAAGTTTTTGCAATTTATCGAGCTCTGTCTGATATCCCCAACCATGGATCGAGAAAAGATAATACCAGTTACACTATTGGAATTGATGAAAACTCGTATTAATCCTTTATAAAGGTTTTATTACATTTTTCATGATGAAGACACTCTGACAAGGAATTACGACAAGTGGGCTTAAGACCGTATTGATGTTTGATGTGTAACATTTAGAAATGGAGAGAAAATAGCATTCTTCGTGGCAACTAAATGGTCAACACCTGATGGTTTGCCTCAGTAACATACCCAAACTTGTGCAAGTATATTGTCATCTGTATTGTCATATGTTAAAATAACGTTTATTAGGGTTATCTATACTATTTATTTATGCTGTCAAGTTGTGATTTTTAATTTGAGTTCGAACGTTCTCTTGTTCGGCCTAGCGTAGTAATGTGGTATTGCATTCCTGCACTGCATGTGCTTAAATTCCCTCGATTTTTTGGATTGTGTTTAAATGGGCTCTTAGATAGTTGGAGACAGGGGACGCCGTGAAAATCTGATTAAGGTATGCAAAGATCTCGTTATCTTACATCTGCATCTTTTTATTTTCCTGGCTTAAGCTATCTGTAACAATATATCTGTCTTCCAATGACTGAATATTACAGTCGTACTGTTAAATGTAATGCATATGCATTTGACAGATATAAGATACCGTATTAAGTTATTCCGTCGATTCGATGTCTAACTGCCAGCAGAAAGATAGTGGACTCTCTTGGCTGTTCTGAACCAGTATCGCCTCACCTTTCCTTCTCTTGGCACAAGCAAGTGAACGTCTCTCTGAGGGAAAATCAAGGAGGCACGCGCTGTTTTTGCTACACAGTTGTTGATGCTGCGCAGACAGTAATGCCTGGTTGTTCAGTAATAAAGATTAGCTCCCATGTAAGCTGTATGAAGGAAGAGTACTACAGAGTATTACAGTGCATCAGTCCATGAATTGTAGAAGGAACATCTCAGAATTGCTTTCCATAATCCATCCTAGGCGTCTCTATCACGGAAAGCTAGATGCGGCCAAAATATGAT